GACGAACCATGAGAGACTATGGACTCTGAGAGACAAACTGAGGGTTCTAGAGGGGAGGGGATTGGGGAGATGGGTTAGCCTGGTGATGGGTATTAAAGAGGGCACGTACTGCAAGGAGCACTGGGTGTTATACGCAAACAATGAATCATGGAACACTACGTCAAAAACTAATGATGTAATGTATGGTGATTAACATAACATAATAAAATTTAAAAAAAAAAAGAAAGCATAAGGCAGCTTCAAAAGGTGACATCACATTGATACCTAAGTTTTTGTGTGTTTGGTTCCATTAAAAATTGTGTTGAGTGACTGGTATGTGTAAGATACTTACAAAAATAAAATATACTTGTCCCTCCTGTCATAGTGGACCCCACATTCAAGTAAGTGTTCAGTTAATTTATACAAGAGCATCTAAATCTAGAATTAGTGTAGCCTGATACGTATCTTGTCTTAGAGTTACTGGTGTGATGATTTCCATGATGCCAGGATTTGAATCCCGGGACAAATTCTTCTTTGTCATGGGAGAGCCATTTAGTGGAGAGCTGGAGCAGGGTCCCAGGCCTCCTTACTGTCAGCTTGGACTTCTCCCTGATTTAAAATGGCCTTACTTATTTATTGTATGGATTTATTTCCTAGTCTTAAGCTGTGAACTTTGCAAAGGGTATTATGACTTAACTTTTTTGGATATTCATCTCTGTATTTTATCCTCGTTTTTTTTTTTTTCCATTAAGATTTCAAACACAGCAGTGCAAACTCTAGACACAATTGAGAACAAAACGGAAATGCCACCTAGACACGTCTTCATTGTGGTTAGGGTACCGAATTTTGACCTATGTTGTTTGATGGAAAGAATCACCGTGCACTTATTCTGGTCTGTTGCAGGTTAACGAAGCCCTTGTCATTTGCTGATTGTGTTGGGGATGAGCTGCCGTGGGGCTGGGAAGCAGGGTTTGACCCACAGATTGGCGTCTACTACATCGATCATGTCAACAGTAAGTTTTTCTTTTTTGTAAAAGTACCCCCCCCCCAAATCTGGATCATACAAAAGGGTAAACTCTCTACAAAGTGAATTTTTTTATTTTAAACCCCACTTTCTCAGTGACTGATATTACCTGAAATGCCCGTTTTGGAATCTGGGGCATGTATGTACATTGGGCTTATGGGGGCAGAGACAGAAATGAATCTGTCTGTCTGTGTGTCTGTCTGCGTGGTAGGGGGTGAGTGTTCTCGAGCACAGGTGTGGGGACCAGTGGAGACCATGAGCCGTCCCATGACCACTGCCCTTCAGAGTGGGGTTCCTCCTTTTCTTGTCCTTGCCACAGAGTTGGGCATGCTGGGCACGCCGCGTACAGTCAGGTCCAGTAGCTTCGTGTGTGCTATGGTGGGAAGGGGGGCGACTGACATCAGCCCCTCTCGAAGATGCAGCTGTGCCGTGGAAAAGACTAAACCTTTGTTTTGTTTTGTTTCCTGATTTCTTTGTGGTTGTAAGGGAAGCACCTCTCATTTTAACAGCTTTTTAATCTGTCAGATCACTGGCAAGGTAAGGCTAGGCAGAGGATTGCTGTGACCATGAACAACTTTTTAAAAACACATACTCGGAGTATTGTTTATATGTCTGTGTGTGTGTGAGTGTAAGTGTGAGTGTGTGTATATTTACTCCCTACCCACCCCTTTAAAAAATTTATTCAGATGGATGCATGTAATACTCACTGATACGCATTTTGCTTATTTCACTTAAAAGTGAGGATCTTGAGGGGCGCTTGGATGGCTCAGTTGGTGAAGTGTCTGCCTCTGGCTCAGGTCATAACCTCGGGGTCCTGGGATTGAGCCCGGTGTCGGGCTCCCTGCTCGGCAGGGAGCCTGCTTCTCCCTCTCCTCCCTCCTTGTGCTCTCTCTCAGTATCTCTGTCTCTCTCTCTCAAATAAATAAATAAAATCTTAAAAAAAATAAGGATTTTGAGTAATATATAATGATTTATACTCTGTTATCTTATTTCTCATAGGTCTATTATATTAAAAATTTACATAATATAGTACTCTTTAGGGGCACCTGGGTGGCTCAGTCGGTTCAGTGTCTGCCTTTGGCTCAGGTCATGATCTCAGGGTCCTGAGATTGGGTCCCACATCGGGCTCCCTACTCAGCGGAGAGTCCGTTTCTCCCTCTGCCTCTGCCGCTCCCCCTGCTCGTGCTCTTGCTCTCTCACGCTCACTCTCTCTCAAATAAATAAATACAACCTTTAAAAAATATATATAGTGCTCTTTAATATCTTTAAGAATAATATCATTATAAAAAAGTATCTTATTTGATGCTTGGTTGTTAGTGATGGCTTGCAGCTGCCCTCGTGTAGGTATATGATAAAGTTTTTGAGAGGCACAAAAAGCCCATATTAATAACAGTGATCTCTTAGAAACCTAAGAATGTTCAATATATAAAATCTGCTCACAGTACTTACATCAAATTTGAGAAAATATCCCCCCACTGATTCTCTGTCAGGGTCTTTTTTTTTTTTTTTTTTTTAAGATTTTTATTTATTTGGGAGAGAGAGAATGAGAGACAGAGAGCATGAGAGGGAGGAGGGTCAGAGGGAGAA